CATTATTTAAGAATGATCGAGTGTTACCAATTTTCGCAATGATTGAGCACATTTGTAACAAGTTGTAGTAATGATTTTACAAACAACGTAAGGAATTACAGAACTGCACGAGTGGGCTAAACTTGGTTCATGAAGATAAATTCTTCAAAACTCTAGAGATAGCGAGAAAGCTAATTGTAGAACCATTGGATCAATTTCATTTATCTGTGAGATGCGAACGTAATATCGGATATATCATAAACTTCATAATACATGCATGTATAGACAATTTCAATTAGAGAGCTTTTTCATGTGCGCATGTAGTCGCAATATCTATGTATAGAGGATTTCCACCACACAACCTATGCACTTATTATTACATGGCTAATTATTAAAGAGCAACATATGCCAAAACTATATTTCCTCTACCAAATGAAGTCGAGTGAGAAGTTTCCAACCTCATTCTTCCACTTAATAATTGGTTGCGTTGACCTAATAGTTGACTTCTCGTTTTAATTATTACAAACAAATTGCGTTTATTTCTAACAAATTGAATTCGACCGTTGTCAGTGATTATTGAAAATCAACGAAGAATGAAGACATGAAAATCAAGATCGAAAGACATGAACATGGACAAACGATTTTGGCACTTGACAATCAACTAGTTGGCAAATTGATAAACATCGAGTCTTGACGTCAAAAATCACATTGGAGAAACATTGATTACCAAATTGAAGACATTAAATATAATGAGTTTTTTAATTCAAATGTAAAGGTATTAACTTCAATTCTTCACATCGATTATAGCTCAAAAACTTCCTTATGCACAATAACATTTTCACGTGACAAAAGACTACTTGCATAAAAATTAATTTTAAAAGATAAGTATCTCGATTTCGTAATCAAACATTTATAAAAATACTTATCCATACAAAATAAATGAGAAAATCTTTCGAAGACCTATATAGATAAAACTTATCACGAAGGAAACGTCCGAAGACAGTTCTCTGCCCGTTCAGACATCTGGATGCCCCAACGGTCATTTTTTTGACCGTTCTCAAATGGCTAGTGTTTACCTTGTCCGGATCCCAATCGGACGTCCAGATGCTATGTCCGGATTGACAAATTTTTGATCGTTTGAGTACTATAAATATCCCTTTCTCTACCTCGTTTGCAATAACTTTCTTCGAGCATTTAAGAGAGGCATTTATTGATTTTTACTATCCTATTTTTCAATCTTTAGAAGATTAAAATATTTAATTCTTGAAAAGCTTTTTGAGTGATCAAAGTTTGTAAAAAATATTTTATCTCAATCAAAGTTTTTCAACAAACACTTGAGCATACTTCTCTCTTAATATTTAATTGTGTTCATATAATTTATTAAGAGAGAAGTTTTCACTTGTAATTTTTTTTTATTGTGGATCGTGTTGAAGTATCGAAAATTTCAACGTTGTAAAAGGATTGGTGCTCCTTGATTGCAAGTCACCGGAAGCATTGTAAGGATTGAATTGTGCCATAAGTCAATTAAAAATAGTGAAAAAGGCCTTGCTCGTGACGGAGAGCTTGGAACGTGGGACATAGATCGTTGTTTGGATCGAACCTCCTTAATTACATCGTTTGTACATCTCTTTCCTTCTACTCATTATTTTCTTGTGTTATCTTGTTTGCATATTATTTTTGCTAATTGTTTAAATTTGCAATTATCTTTGAAAAAGGTTTAGCTAACCAATTTACCCCCTTTTGGTTAGTTATTCTTAGGTATTTGGAAGCATTTACATTTGCAATGTCATGGTAATCGAGTTGTGAAGCCAATAGGATGTTATTCGTTGGCATTGAATGAGAAAAGAGAGTTTTGTAAGTTTAAAAAATATGCCCAATGTCCAGATCGATTTGATACAAATATTTCAAAGAATGTGAATGCCAAGGATGGTAAGATCACGTATTTGAAAAGTCATGTTCTATTCTAGTGGCTTTTTCGAATAGGTATAAGACCTTATGTCAATAAGGATGTTAGTACTACAATTATTAAGCTAGCCACGTTCTTCCAAAAAATTTGCGCTCGAAAGCTTTCTGTTTCGGACTTAGATGCAATGCAATATAGGATTGTACTTGCATTGTGCAAGTTGGAAGAGATTTTTCCTCCTGCCTTCTTCGATATCATGGTCCATTTAGTTATCTATTTACCCTATGAGGAGATGATGACTGGACCAATGTATAATCGTAGCATGTATCCATTTGAAAGGTAATATCAACACTTTTAAGATAATCATGTTCGCAAATATGTAACATCCAAATTAATGGTTATTTTATTTCAATTTAGAGCTTTAGGAACAAAAAAAAAAATATGTGAAAAATAAAGCTCGTCCAGAAGGTTCAATTGATGAGGGATATGTCAATAAGGGGGCATTGACTTACTGTTCGATGTACCTTTGTGGTATTGATTTTATATAATAATTTTTTTACTAATTTTATTGATTTTATATAATAATTTTATAGAAAATTATGATTGTAGCTCAAAAATGTAATTTTAAAAATAACATTTGCTTAAAGACCCTTAATCCTCCCCTATAAATGGGGAAGGATATTTTTATTTACATCTCTTCGTAAAAATAAAAATAAGGGTGCATTTGATTGAGAGTATGAAATTTGCATGGAAAGAAAATAAATTCTAGACAATTCAATTGCCTATAATTTATTATGAAAATTATTAATTAAATATGTTTGATTGATTTAGTTTTTAATCTAGAAAATATTATACATGTTCATTTTTCGTTGGTAGGTAGATGAGAGAGGGAATATATGAGAGAGAGAAATAGAGAGTGAATTCGTTGGAAAATAAAATTCTACTCCGCCTAAAGAAAATATTTTCCTTCATTTTGAGGAAATATGATCATGTGGCCAAAAGTATGAAAATGTTTTCCATCAAAAAAATGTTTATCAAACAACACAAAAATAGGATTTTAGGTGAAAAACATATTTTTCATGAAAAATATTGACAATAAAAAATTCATTTTTTTTTTTATTTAGTCCCTATTGGGTCCGAATTTAAATTTAAATTCTATAACTCAAAATCAACAGTTAATTCTAATAACACATTTTACAAGATCTACAATTTTTCAAACATATATTTTATCAACTTTTATAAAAATCTGCTAAAAATTTAATTTTAATCCTCACCTAACATAAGTTTAGTCATAGGTCAACACCCTTCAATCACCTCTTAAGCTCTAGTTTTAGACATGTAAGTTGCGATATGGTATGTAATAATGTGACTAATTTAGAATTCTTAACTTAATGCATATTTTAAATCAATATATTGCGAAACAGGTGTTTAATGTTTGCGCCCCTCATAGTAGGGGGGCTGCGCATCTTTTTATTCGGTACGGGCCCCCCTTCTTATGAGGGTGTGTGTAATCAGGTGTGTCAACGCCCGGGTATAAATTGTAAAATTCTTAATGTTTTCAATTATAGTACAAAACATATAGAAATGTGAAATTATGTGTTTATCTATTATTACGTGATCTTAAGAGTTGGTTGTTTTACGTGTCCGGATTATAGTTGGGCCGCTTTGTTATCATAGTGTTGGCAGCTTAGTGTGTTGAGCTGATTCTTGGGTTGATTTATTGGGGTTATTTTATCAGAAAATTTGGTATCTGCATTATTCCAAAAAATGATTTCATAATTTACCATGTTACATTACTAAAATAAAAAATGCTAGATGACACATGAAATACATATACTTCATTCTAAAAATAAATCATACACCATATTCAGTAATTGACCCCTTTTTGAATTCAACATATTTCATGTTCTCCATTAATGTCGTTTCCTAATAAGCAATTCAAAAAATGATGATGGCTAAAAACGCAAAAACAATAATTGTCAGTCTGTTGAATAACTCCCATGTGATTCCATACTAGCATTATAGGCTTCAATATCATTGTGTAAGATGATAAAATGAAAAACATTTTTTTAACAAGATTTCGGATTGCATACACAAATACATACACTATTATGAAATAAATTGAATTTCCGGAGAATATCAAGGCACAATTAATTATATTGAAGCATGAACATAAATTTCCATACACAATTCCACGGTGTCTTCATTATGATTTTCACATTATAGAAAAATAAAAAAATAAAATCTGAAAATGAGAATAAAATGTTGGATATGTGCATATTATTTGTTGACGATAGATCTATAGAAGATCAAATTGGTAATTAGGTTTAGGAAATTTCTTGGTGGATGATTCAAGAGAAGGACGATCTGGTGGAGATTTTGGTTTGGAATATGAAAATACACGATTTTAAGGATTTTGTAATTAATTTGACATGTTAAGCACACGTTTGTTGGAACGCAATTAAAAGACACGTTTGTTGTAGTAAAATTAGCCAAATAATGAATGTCATATATGATTTAATTAGTTTTTCACATTTCTATTTTAGTATATAAAAACAACATTTATGGTTAAAGAAAGTTACGTAGTATATTTTAAATATTTATTAAAAAATAGGCGTGTGACATGATTTTCTCTTATTTTATTACCATAAATTTTGGCCGATATATTATCATTTTTGTGCATCATGTCAACCAATAATTTTGATTCTTTTGGTGTGCTCTTCACGAGTAAAAACTATTCAGGGAATCTCAGTTTCAACTCTTTGCTATGGAAAAAATTTATAGGGTCATATAAATGAGAGTGTTTCAACGGCTATAAATTTCAAGGAGTTGGCTCAATGGAAGGTTAAAAATGTTGGCATCATGACTAATAGGTAACGAAAAAAAATTGAATGACTAATGAAGTGTTTGTCGACCCTCTCATTGTTCTTAATTTTTTCTAATGAAGTGATTAATGGTGAAAACCTTCATAAGCTATTGACTAATAGGTTAAAAAAAATTTGAATGACTAACTTGAAATTTTATACAAACTTCAGTGACTATTGGTGAAATTAACTTTATTTCCCGAAGTCCTGAACCCTCATCAGACCGGTTTACTGTCAATTCTGGACCGCTCATTTGCTCGCTCCTTATAGCTCCACGCCCCCCGCAACCCAGCAACAGAGAAACACACGCTTCAATCATCTCTTTTACCCTGCTACCACACTCCTTTTCTCTGAATTGAAAAGATGAGTAAGATTTCGTACTCTTTCCTTGATCTCTAGTTTGGTTTATGTTTTTCCATTAATTACGATTGATGTTTTGTGTTTTTGGTAATTTTTTTAGTCATTATTATTTAATTTAATCAACAAAATGAATGACTTATAGACATTGATATTGTTTGTTTTCATCTCTCTTCTTTTATAAATCAGGATTTGGAAAAGTCGGCAGATTTATTGACCAAATCATTCGCCAAAGTGGTGTGAATCGTACAGCCTCCGATTTTAAGGTATCATGATAAAAAATGCAATTTCTTCGTATTTTATTAAATCTAGAAATAATAGCTGCATCTATAACTAATTATACTAATGATCTGAATTGTGACCGCAACGAATAGATTGGCTGAGTGCCAGAATTGATTATTAGTTTTGCTGTTCACTTTTTTCCTGGGAATCTGGTAAGCAGTAATCTGGTAGTTCATTTGACAGCTCTTAATTAGTGGTCACCTGAGGAAATGGAAAAATGGAGGTGCTTAGTTAATAGTTATCAATTGTAGATGAATGTTGTGTAGCGTGATAGCTGCAACAGAGATATGGAAATTCTAAAGAAGCATTAACCATAGTTGAAACTTCATCCTTTTTGGATTTGATAGGATGTTGATATTTGGATCACTCAGAGATTTTTTTTTTTTTATTTGATAGACGGTACTGTTTACCAAGATGAAGCTTGATGAATGTTCTGCCCACCAATGAGGGATATCCAACATGCAATTAACTGATTAAGTGCTTACTTCACTAAGTTTTAGAGTGATTATAGGAAGTGGGCCCCAAGGAAGGAATGTATGGTTAAAGTGTAGACAAAAGTTGTGGATCCTATGAAATGTGTGGATAAAAATAAATATACTTCTAAGAAGTTTTAATCTTTGCCAGACGTGTGCTAATTTGATCCAAGGGACTTTGCACCAATCAAGACTGCCTGAAACAAGTGCCGATTCTAGTGATGCCAAATTTTTTGACAAATTCTGCCATGGAGGAGGATGTGTTTGTGGCTATAGGAGTAGTTCTAAAACAATACGGAAAACACATGTCTTTCTTTACTAAGAAGTTGTCGGATGCTAATTGTGGGTATTCAACATATGATCTAGAATTCTATGCTCAAGATATTCACCATTGGCAATATTGTATGTTGTATGTGGATTTTAATGGTTACTTATATCATACTACACCTAGTTATTTGAATTCTCTAAGAAGCTCAGTCCAAAGCATCTTAACTAGAATTATTTTATTCAGCAATTTTCTTTCTTATTCTCGTTCTCATTCAAGCATCAACTTGTGAAGAGTAACAAAGTTGATGTATGCTTAAGTAATAATCTTTGAAGAGTTTTAAGAATCAGTAAAAAGAGGATATCCTTAGTGAGTTAATAGAAGATTTACTAAGAGTATTGGGAAAAATGACTTTTTTTGTTATGCATGATGATTATATGTTCCAAGGTAATCAACCGTGCATGCTGCAGGTTCTAAAACGGAGAAAATTATTAATGAGCTCTATGGCCGTGGTTTAGGTGGACATTTTGGTTGATAAGAGACTTTAGCTTTGATGGAACAAAATTTATCGTATTAAATGTCACAATATATTGAGGTAGAGAACCAATGTTTAAGTTCATTTTCAAAATATAGGTTCGCATTTCATCGCTGGCAATTGCTACTTCACCTTTTGTTCTTCCTAGTATGAACATTATTGAGTAAACATTCTATGGAGAACACTTGGATATCTGAGGGAGAGCTAAGCTATACGCCCACTCATTTAAGTCTCTTCAATCCAGAGTAATTGATGTAGGCAAGAGTTTATTATTTTCAAATCCTTCTTGTAAAAGTATTTCTGTTCTTATTGGACTTGAATTTTAGTTGGTTGGGGATTAGATTTTATATGGACTCTTAAGTTATTGTTTCTTTTAGGTTTCGAACAATAATTATGATTACTTTCCTAGTTACAGTAGTTTTTAAACTAACCTAGTGACTTAAGCTTGACTGGTTTCTCTTGGTTTTGGAGTCTCTAAGGGTTATAAAGCCTCTAATAAGGCCTTGTCGTTCCATAAAACAATAATAACCAAAATTTCTGGTTTGCTGGAATTTAAATCTTGGGACTAAACCTTTAGTGTTTACTTCGATATCTGCCAATTTCTGCCAATATCCCTTTGTGTTGGTTAACACTGGTTCCCTTATCACTAGTATTTGGATATAAAGATCTCTTTAATATTAAAGTTGAAAATTGATCAAAGATGTTATATTCAGGTTGAAGTCTATGATTCGAATGAAGTCAATTATTCGAAGAAGTAGAGAGTATTTTAACAGATGCTTTTACTTTATTTATATTTTTTCTTTTTAAGATTGTGGAATTGCAGTTTTTTTATTAGAAGTGCAAAAGTATATCAATTATAAAGTATAAACACCCAAAGCACAATTGTCCTTGTTTGTTTTTAAAAAATCTTCCATGGCAGGTTTTAGTTCCTTGTGGTGGATTTGCCATTAAATCAACCATGACAGAAACAGAATGGTCGATCCTGCAAAGATGTTACTAATTACTTTTTCAATAAGATGCTTAATTGACTGGGTTAAATAATATCAATGCATGTGTTAGATACACCAATGTTGCTCAAGCCTTGCATCACTAGTTTCCAGTTTGAAGATTATACAAATTAAAATTTACTAATAATATATGTTACTTACTATTTGAATGGATTATTTTTCATGGTGGTGATTACATATTCTAATTAGCTTATTTAATGAAAGGGGAATGGTGTAGCACTATTTATATCTGACATATAAATACTTGAAAAGGTTACCGAAATACTTGAATGTTTGGACTCTTATGTAGATGTTTATGGTTTATGTTTTCAATTTAGACGGACAGACTCACATATTTGGACATCTTACTGGTTAATGATAAAGTCGTCATCATTCTTCCAGAGAGGTACTGTGAAAATTGGGAGTTCTTTTCTACATAAAGGTGGATCTCCATTTAATGAGCCTTTTATATGATTGAAGAACTGAATCTTCATCCGTCAAATTTCATTGTTATTGTCATATAAGGCACTTTGCTTACCTGCTATAATGGTTGGAGGCTCAATTTATTTCTCATAATTCTAATGTATGACATTTCATTGATTGATTTTAACTCGCGTTAATAGATCTGTTCACTCCATATGAATTAATTTCTTGACCATTTAATGCAAGATCATGCTGAATTTACTGGTTTGAGGAAATTCTATTCCTCTTCATTTATTGAGTACAATTGACTTACAACAATTACTATAAGGGCGAAACTTCACATTTTCACTTGGATGACAAAGCTTGCACATTTTGTGCCACATGATTCAGAACCATTTAATTGTCTTCCAATGCTCAATTCTGTGCCCTACTTTGCTTATAACTTTATTGTGTGAATTTCTTACGACATTGTTTTCTTTCGCAGAAGCATGATCTTTTACAGAAATTATCTTGTGTAAGTTTCACTTCTTTTTAATGATGTGTACGTATGATTTCCAGGCTGCTCCACTCTCGCCTGCACTTCTTTCAAAGCATGGTCAAGATGGAAGTGGGTCTACTGGAATGATGTCCTTGAAAGTATTTGCACTTCTTGGTGCTGGGGCTTCAGGTCTCCTGAGTTGTGCAACAGTAGCTTACTCTTCTGATGAGGCCGAGCACGGGTTAGAGTGTCCCAGCTATCCATGGCCCCACAAAGGGATTCTCAGTTCATATGACCATGCTTCGTAAGTAAATGATTTGTGCACTAGCATTCTTCTTCAACTGTTTGGGGAAATGGTTACACTAGGCTAATCTACCTGATTGAATTTGGAAACATAATCACTGTTTGTGTGTGCAGGATTCGTCGTGGTCACCAGGTTTACCAGCAAGTTTGTGCATCATGCCACTCAATGTCTCTTATTTCTTATCGCGATCTGGTTGGTGTGGCTTACACTGAGGAAGAAACTAAAGCTATGGCAGCAGAGATTGAAGTGGTTGATGGTCCAAATGATGAGGGTGAGATGTTCACTCGCCCTGGGAAACTGAGTGATCGTTTTCCTGAGCCTTATCCTAATGAACAAGCTGCAAGGTTTGCCAATGGAGGGGCCTATCCCCCTGATCTAAGTCTTATCACTAAGGTATTCTTTTGCTCTCTCTTGATTTGAAGAAATATTGAGAAACCTTTATACCTCTGTTGCTAATTATTTTTCCTCTCAGGCCCGCCATAATGGTCAGAATTATGTTTTTGCTCTTCTAACTGGGTACCGTGATCCTCCTGCTGGCGTGATGGTAATTTCTGCTTCTAAATTGTCCGTTTAAAAAAAATAAAAAATAAAAAATAAAATATTGGAGAGCAAATAGTAGTGAAATATTTTGCCCTTGTTTGGTAGAGTAAAAATCATATTTTTAGTAGATTTTGATAAAATTTGATAAAATGTGTGATTGAAAAGATATAGAAGTTGTGAAATCCATAAAATGTGCAGTTAAAATTAATTATTGACTTTGAATTAAATTTTTATCAATTTTTTTAGCTCAACCAAAAAGGGGCTTTATAAATTTTATTACATTATTGCAGGATAATCTAATCCATAAATTGATGTAGAGTAAAATTTTATATTGATTGCACCTATTTTGGATCCTGACATCATTCTAAATGGGAGTAGCACGAGCAGCTAAATTTTTACTGTTGTCTGATGCTGTCGTGCACGTGCTCCTACTCTCGCTCGTAGAAGCTCTTGATTAGGTGTGGTAAGAAGTTCTTTTATTGAACGTAAAGGCAAGTTTGTTAAAATATGGATTCTTATATGCTTAAGATGAAAGGATCCGTATGTCATAATGTTGTGTGCGTCTGGGGTGACTGATATAGGTACACGAGCCTTCATTCAGGAGTCCATATAATGTAGTCCTTTAAATAATTTTTTTCACGCTAGCTACATTGCTCCCACTCTGGTGCGGTTTATGGTTTTTAGATTACAACTGAATAGATCATTGATGTTTCCATTCTGCTGAGGCGAATTTTTTCCTGACATTTTTAATACCTACATAGATTCGAGATGGGCTACACTATAATCCTTATTTCCCTGGCGGAGCTATTGCTATGCCTAAAATGCTTAATGACGGTGCTGTCGAATATGAAGATGGTATCCCTGCAACAGAGGCACAGGTGACTTCCTTAGCCTTTGAGTTGCATAATTATCCGTACCTTTTACATCTGGAAATCATGTAGTGTTGCTTCTTCATTGTGCAGATGGGAAAAGATGTCGTATCATTTTTATCATGGGCTGCTGAACCAGAAATGGAAGAACGAAAGCTGGTAAGGCCTCTTTCTCCCTCTCTGTATCTTTCTGCTTAAGCTCTGCAGAAATTTTGAATCCAGTTTTTCGGTTTTCTTATACTGCATTTGAGTGCTCTCTCTCTCTCTCTCTCTGGGAAGCATATCAATGAACCCTAAACAGAACACTATCCCTAACCCTAAACATCCTTTATGATCTGAAATCATTAACCTAACGCAGTTTTAGAACAACCAATGTTCGCCTTACTATTTTTTCATTTTTTTTTCTCTTTATTTTTGTTAAAATTATATTGCTAATTGTCTCAGTGTACATGGTTAAAGGTCATTCACAGTGTTAACAATTAATAAAGCCAATCGGTCGAGATATTATACAAATCTTCTTGTTCGAATCCTTGTTTTGGTTGTCTAACCTTCTTCCCATTGAAATGCTGACAGATGGGTTTCAAATGGATCTTCGTATTGTCTCTCGCACTTCTCCAAGCAGGCTACTATAGACGTTTGAAATGGTCAGTTTTCAAGTCCCGGAAGTTGGTCCTCGATGTTGTCAACTAAACCTCGAAGAGTTTTATCAAGATGTTCAAGCACTAGTAGTTAATTAACATAGGAAATTAATTTTAGGTTTCACGTTCTATAGCCTATGCTAATCAGTATAATAAGTATGTTTTTTGAGTAATAAATACTACTTGGATACACTGTATGTTTTTACTTTTTATTCACTGCCCTTGTGTCTGTAACAATTGAGGGTTAGTTTCTCTATAACAATCTTGATGTGCTGTATGTTGCACCGTTTGGAAAACTTTTGAATGAAAGTTTATTTATTTTGTGTATATTGTCTCAATTTTCTATTAAAATTCTGCTGTAAAGAGCAAGTTCTTCCAATGCATGAGCAGCAATTTATTAGGAAAATAGTGTTTAAAAAACAAAAACAGAAACAAAAAACAAATATTTTGTGCCTCTCTTAGAGCTAAGAAATTGCAAGATCACAGATGAATGAGAGAACCAAAGTAGAAATCTGAACTCCGTGTGATCTAGACATTTGGAACCTAATCAGATTGATATCTGCAACCAGTTTCCCTAAAATTGAATAGGAAACTCGATCTAACCAATGAAATCATCATCGTCCTAGTCATCGGGAAGTGGCCGATTCCGTGCATTATTTAGTTCCGATTCATGCCTGCAATGATGAAAACATTCATTGTCACGATTGTGTTGTCATCTTAACATAATTATCATCGATATGTATGGAAGACAAAACATTGCTAAATCTACATCAAAGGAACATGGAAAAGCCACTTACTTTTTTTTTTTTTTTTTTTTTTTTTACAAGGTGTCCTATTCTAGACTAATCCTTGGGTCTGTGATCCGGCCCCTCTTCACACAGTCCGGTTAATCGCAGGATGTGCCTCCAACTGGCCAGGGTCCGAGCGCTCCCCACCTGGTCTGACAAAGTGTCAAGCAAGCCAATCCAAGTTGCACCTTGCCTTCCAAGAATAATCCTTGCCTTCCAAGTTCCCACTTGCCTTCCAAGAATAAATCCTTGCCTTCCAAATGTTCCCTTGCCTTCCAAGAATAAATCATTGCCTTCCAAGAGCCCCATGTTTCGAACTCACGACCTCTGCTCTGCCAGGTTTGATAGCGTCCGTCCTTTGCCAGTGGAAAAGCCACTTACTTTAGTTGAACTTCAGGAGGAGCAAGAGCAGGTGACTCAACAAAATGAAGATTAGAATCCCTGAAGAATAATGTAATGTGTATCAGCAGAAACCCAAAGATTCATTGACAAACAAGAACCATCAAAAGAGAACAGATGTGGATTTGTTTGTCAATATTTTACCCTGCAAGTTTTCTAGCAAGATACAGGAATGGCTTCTCAAAGTTGTAGTTGCTCTTCGCTGAAATCTCATAGTACTGAAGATTCTTTTTCCGGTGGAATGTAACCTGCTTCTCTTTCACCTGCCTGTTCTTGAGATCTATCTTATTTCCGCACAGTACAATTGGAATATCCTCGCACACCCTGCAATTGACAGAAGAATATTTAAATCTGATTTGTAGTCGGGATAATTCAACTTTATGGGAAACATGGAGTTTCTTGAAAGAGCCTGCAGATATCCCGATGCCATGTTGGAACATTTTTGTAGGTAAGGCGTCCTGTTACATCAAACATTATGATAGCACAATTCCCATGAATACTGCATAGGTAAAAAAAAATTGAATTATATTAGTGTTAAAAATCATTCCAAGATGTAGAAAGAACATAGGCAGCTCACAGTCATTACTGAAAAGGCCAACATAGACCATGTTCTTCCAGCTATTTCTAAAGGAAAAATGCAAGTCCAAATCTGCATTTACATGCATCAATCAGAGGAATGTTTTTGCAAACTTTAACCACGGCAATGTAAACTATGCACTGACCACAAATTGTAAAGTAAATGAAAAAGATATTAGCAGTCTGAAATTTAACTAGCTTTCTAATGCCAATCTATTATGGAAGACTCTGTTCCAAGAAAGAGTTTTTAACAAAATAAAAAATAAAAAATAAAAAATAAATTCATTGCTGAAAGATCCATCTCAACGTAAAAGGAACATCAGTGAACGCTAGATAATGAACACACATATAAATCTAAATTAAGAGTTAAAAGAACATTCCTATTGCCTGTAATTTTATATTAGTAACAAAATATGAAATCCTTTAGAGGCATGTAATAGCACAAGTCAAATTCGTAAGCAAACATAGGAAAAATTGAGCACTACTTCTAGATGTTACTAAACATCCAAAAATGTTATGAGCTTATTCCTGTCAACGACGTATGTCATAAACAAATGAGCTTTGTAGCTGATATAAATTATTCAAAACTACAGAATAAAAAATGTATGCCAAGAGAAACATAAATGGATCCAAAGATTCCTAAATTTCTTGGTAAAGAAAAAAATTATGTCATTGTCTTTCCTTTTTGTTCATCTTTAATTCATCATAACCATAATATTGTACCAGACAATATCTAATAGCATTCACAAAGTAGGAATAGTAATAATGACTCTCCAATGAAATATGGATTTTGCTCCTCTACCAGACTTGTAAATGATTTGGTAGAGGAGCCTCTCTCACAGCATTGGGACCTATTATTAAAAAAATGTCAAAAAACACCCACCCCCACCTCCAAATGTGAGTAGAGTTGCTCTATCAGATCATTTACAGATCTGGTAGAGTAGCACGGTCCATGAAATATAAACTTACTAGTAATTATCTCGAAGTCCTCCAAACTTCTCTTGCCCAGCAGTATCCCAATAGTAGAACCTTATTTTGCCGCAGTTTGTAAAGAAGTCCAATGGATATACCTCTACACCAATTGTAGCTGCAATCCAAAATAGAAGCATAATAGTCATTCACTACATCAACTCAATGCACATAATTTGATTAAACTATAAAAATTGCGTCCGCCTACTCCTAAATAGGCACAAGATATTACATTCGTACTTTGATGCACACCAAGGGGGACAGATTCATACGGACTAAAAAGCCAAAAATAAAAAATAGGCGCAAGATATTACATTCGTACTCTGTGCATATACATGTATATAAAAGTTGAATCTCAATCTTGACAGCCTCCACCGCCTTGCCTTGCCTCTAGAGCTTTCGGAGGGAGGTAAATCACGGGATGTGTTCCAGCAGGCCAGGGAACAAGAGCTGCCTGTAGACTGCGCCTACAAAGAGTCAAATTCCATGTTTCAGGAATCGAATCCCCACACTGCGGCTGTCAGCAAGGCGTGAGATAACCTCACTCCTGTCCTTTGTACCACTAGACTATGCCTCGGGAGACTGCATATACATGTATATGCACATATACATGTATCAATATGTTATAGGGATCAGTAAAGTATATCTAACCTTATCATTCCGACTAAGACAAGCTAGACATATGTATATAGATGAAAAAAATATTCACATGCGTAAATAGATATTCATATCCTATTGTATATACATGAAGAAATACGTTGATTTCTAAGCAATAACATTATATGCTCATATACAGAAATAGAACCGACACTTACGCTCATATTTCTTCTCGAATTCTCCAGTAAGATGGCGTTTAACAAACGTCGTTTTCCCTAACGTCATTAAACCACAAAATAATCAACACAATACTCATTTCAGCTCTCAATTATATGGAATTAAAGATCCAAAAATAAAAGCATGGTATAAAATTTGATAATTAAGTGAAAAATATCAGAAAACTTAGTAAAATCACCTGTACCGCCATCGCCCACGACGACAAGCTTGAAGTTTGGGTAATCCACTGGCTGTTGATTCGGAAGTGCCTACACACAAACATGTAAGTACGTACATACATACATGAATGCAGATCAATGTGTGCAAAATTTGCGGAAATTCAATATGCATAATTAAATTTGAGTGATTACAGAAGATTTACCATAGCGAGAGAGAAACTATTCGTGATTTTGAATGGAGGGAGAATAGAAGCGCAGAGGGATTTATTTATTTATAGAGGAGGAGGTGTGCTTTTCGCTTGAATACGCGGATTTTTTCAGCCGTAGGATTCTGTTTGGCTTAATCTTGGCGCGTTAGTCTTGGCCGTTCACGTGTCCTTGATGGAAAACGAGGCCATACTGTTTTTGGAATATCAGAAAATTGCAATTAGGTTTTCCTAAAATTTTCAAAAAGTGCAACTGTGCAACGGTTCTTTAACCTTTAAATATTTGCAAGGTAGTAAATAGCACAAAATGTACTTACCTTTCATTTTTTTGATATTTTCACTCCTATTTCCACCTTTTATTATGCAAAAGATCATTTCCATCTATTTTTTTTTTCAATAAGAGATGATTTTACCCTCTTATTCAAATAAAACAAAAAAGAAATGAAATGAAAGTTTAAACAATTAATTGCAACAATAATCCCAATTTTCAAGAAATTACAAAAATTAACATATCATCACTGAAATTGCCCAACCACCACACCCACCCCACTACTATCAACACCATTCAAATCATCATTGTCACCTCAAATTCTTGATGCACCATCGTCACCTTCATTTCAAATTCACAACAACCACCACCTCATCTGCCTCAAACCATCACCACCACCCTCACTTCAAATCCACCATCAGCACCCATCTTCATCCCTTTCACAGCCCACAACCACCTATCTTCTACAGTCAACTATCGTCATCTCATCTTCTCATCTCATCTTCTAGAGCCATCCCTCTTCATCTTTTTCATAGCTCACCACCACCCGTCTTCCACAGTCAACTACAACAAATACTGCTGACTTCTACTTCATTGGGCAGCTATTTTCGACACCAAAGTTAATCTTGAGTTATGACGACGGAGCTTCACTGATGACAATGCTGCTGTATCAATTCATGAGATGGTTGGACTTTGAAATTTGATTTTTATTTTTAGTCCACCATGTGCAATGAGTCAAATGCCCCTTATGCTTCAACAACTTTGGTGGCAAATTTCCTATGGGGTGCATGAGAGTTCCACCAGAGAAGGACCTTCGGAGGCGGTGATAGAGACAAATAGCAAGTGGTAAATGAAGCTAGAAGGCATATTATAGATTTGAAAATTTGGGGGAAGTTGATTAAATGATAAAGGCGTGGGAGTAGAGGGTAGTTGGGTATTTGGTTTCCGGTTACAACGGTTGGAGTTGATGGTGGGGTCGGATGGAGAGAGAGAGAGAGAGAGTCATAGGTTTTTTTTTTTTTTTTTTTTGAATGAGAGGGGGAGGGGATTATTGAAATGGAAAGTTAAATAAATTTTTGAAAATTTGGGACTATTGTTGCAATTAATTGTTTAACCTTTCATTTCTTTTCTTTTTGTTATATTTGAATAAGAGGGTAAAATCATCCCTTTATTAAAAAAAATGAATGAAAATAACTTTTTGCGTAATGAAAGATGGAAATAGGGGGTAAAAATGCTAAAAAATGAAAGATAAGGACGTTTTGAACAATGACATTAAAAGGTAGGGACATTTTGTGCTATTTACCCTTTGTGAAGGCGTCTCAAACCTTTGAGAAAATAGTTGGCTGAAAGACATTTATGATAGCCTAAGCCTATGTTTCATCAGGATTAAAATTAGATTTTTAATAAATTTAAATAGAAGTTGATGAAATGTGTAATTGAAAAGTTGTGAGACCAATAAAATATGTTATTAAAATGAATTGTTGGCGTTGACTTAAATTAAAATCTAGCTTTGAATTGGTACCAAACATGAACTAAAAATGACTAACAAAGAAGGGGTAAATTAGTTTTAAATTTTTTTTAAAAAATTAATCTTAAATCAAGTTAAGGGCAAGTAGATCAATCAAATAATAAACATAAATAAAATAACGATAAGTAAAAAAAGAAAAGAGAGGATGCAAACAATATAATTTTGTAGGTTCAATTCAAACCAATGATATATGTCATTCGTTAACAAGCTCTTCGCGTAAGTCATTTTCGCTGTATTGATTGATTTATGGTGCAATCACAATCCTTACAACTCTTCTAATAACTTACAATTAATGAGTATTGATATTTATACAATATTGAGTTTTCACAGGACCTCAATATAACCTATAAATTTAACGAATTGATTTATAATAAAACTTTTCTTTTAATAAATGATACAAATAAATTAAGTACCAAAAGATGTTAACACTTCAATAAATAACAATGAATAATAGCTCAAATGTTAGTTGAAAAACTTTGATGAATATGATGATTTAAAAGTTTGATTCAATTAATCAAAACTTTTGATATGAAGAAATAGAAGAAATAAATATAATGTAAGCTTAATAATATTTTTTTTTCAAAATATTTTTCTCTTAAATGCATTTGAAAGACCTTACATTGAATACAAAAAGAGAACCTATTTATCGAGAAGAATTTGCAAAACAGTCTGGGAGTTCGGATGATTCTTCGATTGACAGTGACAATAGAGATGATCAAAATATAGTCATTGGACAAAAATTCAGAAATCAGAATGGTCAAATTTTTTTACTATTAAGATTGTTGGTTGATTGGATAGTCCGGCCAATCGATCACATCCGCCTAATTGACCTGATTTCGACCTTGTTTGATCCAATTTAAATGTTTTGAAAAATATAAACTTTAAAAGTGTTTTTAACTAGTTTTCAAGGTAAGTGATATTTTAAAGATATGATATAACTTCAAATTTCACTTTTGAAAATCAATCTTACCTGTTAACAAAATATTTTTGCAAGTGCTAATCAAAATAGCTTTCAGTGCATAAAATGATTTTTAAGCTTTAATCCATTCATTGCTAAATATCTAAATATTAGAACCTGTACATTCGAATTAAAAAGTCTAGTCTTTGATCTTTTTTCGAAGTTTGGCTTTTAGTCTCTTGTCTTGATCTTTTTTAGACATTTAACTTTTAAGTACTTGTCTCGGAGGATTTGTTTTGAATGCTTGATTTCAATCTTGATCTTTTTTATGAGTTCGATTAGTAATGATAGTCTTTGATTATTATCTTTTAACCAGATCGATCAATTTATCATATAATACTATGAAAACTATTGTCACTTAAATTCAATTACTAGTAAATAAGATTAACTTGTTTGTTAGGATTAAAACAATAAGAATAAAGTCAATCATATGTCAACAATTTCTCTCTTTCTGATTATAATAAATAAAATGATTTGCAAAGTAATATCAACATTTGATAAGGAATAAAAATATTAAATTCACTATTCCATATATTTTTCCTATCTTATAAAAATCAATTGTCATTCATTCAAAGCATATAGATAATTTAAAGTATATTCAATTCATATCAAATCTATCTCTCATGTCCCCCTTTCAACATAAACAAAAAGATAGCACATAGGAGAGCATGAGTGCGGCATTTATGATAAAAACTTAATAATCAACCATAGGAAGGAATAATATTTTTCCTCAAAAAACTATAAAATGCCAAATATATGCAAGATGAAACAAGAGATCAATCATCACATTCGTCGCAAAATGCATATCAAAACATGATGGATGAAGTATCAAAAGCATAATCAAAGTTTAATGATTATTTAGAAGGTTTCATAATACATAAAGTAGATACCAAATGTTAAGAGTACTTAACAACAAATCAATACTCTGAAAAAGGTGGAGGAGGAAAGAGTGAGTTGATGCATTTTGTAAAGCAAGCACTTATTGAAACAACTCGACAATTCCATTGGTGGAGGAAGTAAGAGAGTCGATATGGAAGTTCAAGAGATTGTAGTTATCCTAAGTGAATGTAAAGCCAGAGATCGAACATGGAAAGCTTGAGCTTGGAACATTGTGATGAGGGCTTGGAGGGATTGGCACATCATCCTTATCTTGATAATCATTGATCGTATCTTCATCATCTTCAAAGGATAGAGTTGAGGGTCCGACTTCATATCAAACCCCTTGGTTCTAACCACGCATTAACTCTCATTTTTTTGAAAGTTTGAATATTTATTATATCTGTAGGACGTTGAGAAATAGAAACCTCACCATTCAAAGATACCTCAAAATGTTTAAAAATTTTTGGTGAGAAGCATACCAAAACCAAAGGATAAAGCCTTGACTCTTAGTAGTGGTGTGAACAACGTTCATGTGACCAATGATAATAGACGAAAAATCTAATTTACGCTCGACCATCAAGTTGACATTTCCTAGGAACAATGATATAAGCAATGATGTTAAGTGAAACTTTGCATGGTAGAGAGAGTTGGTTGGAGCTAAGTTTTATGGGATGTTGGAAATGTTTACTGGTTACTTTACTACATGCCTCGATGGGATTATAACCCTCAAAATTTGGATAAGCCATATGATAAAAAAAACTTGATTCGCACAATTTTCAAGCTCAAGTAAAGTGCGAATGAGGGTTCTAGTAATTTTGATTTGGTTTCTTTTAATAGAACAGTTAATACCCATACCCATTCTTTAATTCATATCCTTGTAGTCATTGTTTGGTATCACTAAAAATCTGATTAAAATTTAAATCAAAGTTAACAATTAATTTTAACCACACATTTCATAGGACCTTCAAATTTTCTACCACACATTCCATAATTTTTTTTTTATTATCAAAATTTGCTAAAATTTTGATTTTAATCTCTACAAAATAGGATCTAATTTTAGATGTTTCACAAAAGTAACAAAAAAATTGTACGGAAGTAACAAAGTACATACTATGAAGAAAATTCACATCAAATGCATCTCGAAATGAGAAACAAATAGTATGATTAACAGAGTGGCATCGTTCTTAATTTTAAGAATTTTGACCATCTCTCTGAGAGCTTGACGCTGTGTTTGAATAGAAAATATAGATGGATAAAATTATGGTCACGACTCTTTATATTCTAGAAAAAACAAGAAGACAAAGCTTGGTTGCTCGACCTAAAACACCAATCAACTCTCAAATGATATGGAGAAAATTTTAATTTCTTTGTTTTAATGCTATCAATTACAAAGAAAATAAATATCAATGTTTAGATTATTTGAAGTGACACATATTTTTTGATGGGATTGACCAACTTCTGCGTCCCTAAGCAAAGACATGTTTAACAAATCGAATACTCGTGGATTCTCGACGTAATGGATCAGACAATTAGAGTGAATTGAAAATAAAATAAAATAAAATAAAATAAAATAATAATAATAAATAAATAAATTCAAAGCTGAAAATTAAAGTTGAAGTTAAATTAATTTGGTAAGCAAAAACAGGAAATCAATTATTTGAAGGCATGATCATTATGTAGATTCTTATTTTATTTATTTATTTATTTATTTTTCTCCAGACAAGCCAAATGAACACTATGTAACATTAATCTAGCTTCTTCACGTTACAAGAAAAAAAAGCCTAATTACACCTTGTTGACTAAAGTAGGATCATAAATATCGTATATCAACATGTTTTATAAGTAGTATTTGACGGGATTAGAAGGTAGTATCTAATCCTGTTCAGTACGGAAAATAAATCAAATGTGACGAACACTAACCAATCTCATATCATCAATCACAGGACCACACATTGAACCGGAATTGTCACTCTTCATGTGATAAAATGAGCTCAAAAACCTAACCCTAGTGCGTGTCGAGATTGCCTTGAACCTTAGCCTTGCACGTTTGAATCCACCATTGCCTTTGGATTCATAAGGAACCTGAACAATGTCTCTGGCTGCACTTGCTTCAACCAACATTGATCCTTGGCATGAATTTTTGGCATCTCCTAGTGAGAAAAATAGATCATAAGTCTTGTCGGGAACGGTTCTTACGACTTGTGTAAGTGCACTCTCTCTTCCTGCCACCAGTTCGACTGCCCGTTTGCCCCCGGGAACTGAAAAATGGTCGGAATCTATGTACTTTACGGCCTTAAGGGATTCGATAATCCATCCAGGAAGTGGTGAGTGATCATCCTCAATATTGGGAGGAATTAGGACACCCCAGGATGTGTTGTGGAAAATATATGGACCCTCTTCAAAATTCCCATTCTTCAGCATGTTGCCTGCATAATTGTTTGATATAAACTGCTAAGGTTTTGGAAAGTAATAATCAATAGAAAATGAAAAATCCTTGCATGCCTGAGTGGTGTATTTGCATTGATAACCTTTTACTAAAGAATAATCAATGATATGTATCTATGCTTACTTGTCAAATCAATGGGACAACTCACATATAGTAGTGAGTAATGTTATTCAGTACCACTCATGTCAAGTACTAATTTAGGTGGCAACTGCATGACATTAAATGATAGATTTACGTAAATGCAATGTCATATGATTTATTTAATTGAACTTATCAAATATGGCTACATAAATTGGTGCTCTCTAGTACCATTGGTATTAGATAATATAAATCTTTGATAAATGGTTCAAGCAAAATCTATATAGTCAAACACAAGAACTATCATGTGTAGACCAACGAAAATGCTCGCACTACGTTTTACTAGTTATCAATGACTCATTGACCATATGAATTGTATGTAACTAACGAAAAATTTAGTATTTAAAGGGATCGGAGCAACGGAAATAGATTGTTTTTACAACCTAAAAATTAATAGAAAAACACTATGCCCACATCAACTTGTTCACCATGGAAACAACAATTTTTTTTTTACGTGTCAATCGAAAACAAAGGTACACGTGACAACTGATTTGACTCTCCTATTTTATGTGATGGTAGTCCCAAAAAAAATAAAATAAATAAATAAATAAAATTCAGTTTTATTTGCTAACTTCTTATTTTTAGGTGTAAGGAAGTTTACCTCTTAGCCTTTTAGGTGGGTTCAAAGCCTTGAGTGCCACTGAATCAATGACTGGTCCACAAGCTGGGTCCTTCTCTTTTCCTGGATTATGCAAAATTATCTCAATTTCATTGAACTCTGCCAAGAATCCCCAACAATATGTATCCCAACCCTCACTACTATACATTGTCTGAATAGGTAGAATTCCCCAGTCCTTTGGTGACACTGAAATATTCAATTTCTCGTCCTGTGCACAAGTTCTTGCAGCACTAAACGATATCGAGTAAAACATCCCATTTGTGACCTTAACCTTTGTCTTAATCGATGCCTCGTCCCCCAGCCTCACAGCCGAGGCTCACTCCGGCACCACCAGCAACATGTCACCTTGTTTTTGGCCCCATTTTATGTATTCGACAAAACCCGAAATTTCCCAGTTGGGTATGGCTTTTGGGTCCATCACTTTGGTCCCTTTGATTTGAGATGGCTTTGGACCGAACTCGAAGTTCCCATTAGGCAATAATCCTGGAATTTTTTTAAATTGCATTAGATTATGTGGTTCAACTACAGCTAAAGAGTGGATCAATTTTATCTTAAATAAACAATGAAAAGTAAACATGCAGATCCTAACAGAATATTTAATTATGATTTTGATGGAAAAAAAAAAAAAGGTTGAACCCCAACCTTAACGGCCTTCCACCGCCCCTGTCCTGGAATATCGTGAGGGAGGTAAATTGCAGGTTATGCCTCCAATAATATAGGGTGGAAGGCTGCTTGTACACTTACACTTACACTTACACTTACCCAAGAGCCAAATCCATATTTCAGGATTCGAACCCTTGACGCAGCAGCTTCAAGCAAAGCTGGATTTCTCCACCCCCTTTTACCAATTGGAGATGTGCCTTGGGGCTATCAATTCACACATTTTAATATCTAGAATGTATAGTCCGTGAATTAATAACTAGGAATTAATTCACAAGATGCTGGATCCACTTGGGCAATATTTTATTATTTGTGTTAAAAGGTGCAGATGACACAAAATTCCAACAAAGGTCTATACTTAAGAATTATGGCTTCTTGCTATCAAGACTTCATTATTCAGATTTTGTACACCTTAAGACAAGGGTACAATTGCACAAACATAGGAGAAACGCATAAAAACGTTATTGTTATTTGGAAAATTCACATTTTACCATAGTAATTAAAATTGGACGAAGAGTGGTATGGTTAAGTTGGCATGCGTTGGTCTATTAACAAAGGAATCGATCAAGAATCGCTAAAACCAGTCCATAATCGTCTGAACTCTGAATCGAACGAGTTTAGCAAAGATCAAAACCGGTTGTGGCCAGCTAACCAGGGCCTATGTGGCCCTTGTATATAAAGGAGTTTAATCCAAATTTAATATCATATTTGAACTAGGAAAGATTCAAACTTGTACTTCCTATAATAGAAGCTTGACCACTATGGCAACTATTGAACATTTTGTAATAAATGAGAGATATATATTAAATTTTGTTGTCCACCAATGACCATGTTTAATATAAGATGACCACGGGTGATCATTATGATCATTTCTCTCTCTGAGAAGGGGGGCGGGGGGGAGAGAGAGAGAGCTGTCAGTTCTCTTATTTTGGTAGATTTGGCATAGGTAGCCATTGCTAGTACCATTGGCGGACCTACACAAGGCCCTAGTGGGTCACTTGATCCACTAGCTTCAAGGTCCCTTTTTTTTTTTTTTGTTTTTTGTGGAAGAACCAAAAATTAGAATTGGGCAATAATAGTAGTTGTGCTTTTTTATTAAAATAGAGTTCCAACAATGACCGAACAATTGAGAGAGTGAGGTTGAAATTATTTTGTCATTTGTCAGATTTAATTTGAAAATTCTTTAAAAAAATTTATTCATCATACATGTGAGATTATTTGAAATTCTTTGGAAATTGTTATTTATCATATATATGAGATTTGTGAATCTATGATAGTGATCATGTGTATGTGTTTTTGTAGAATACATAATTTTTTTTTAACTTTTTAATAAATTTAATTGTGTCCCACCAACTCCAAATGTCTAAGTCTGCCATTGGCTAGTACTCAAGTTTTTTTATTTCTTTGTTTCTTCCCATGTACCAAATGATTAAATTCATATACTCTTGAGAGATTTGTTCAGTAATAGATTCTTATAAATGCAGCGAATTTAAGACAAAATATGAATTTAATCTCATGAAAGTAAGAAGAGAAATTAATTGATGTGAAGTATTGGAAGGTTACCATCGTTGAAAGATAATGCAAAAGAGAAGGCGGCGCAGAGCAGAAGCAACAACAGGTTCATCTTCTTCATGTTGTAATAACAATACAATGTACTTCAGTATGTGTATTGAGTTGAGTGCGTAAGAGAAATTATGGGGGAGAGGGAGGGAGGGAGAGAGAGAGAGAGGATTGGATCGAAAATGAAGAAGCCAGTGGGATTTTATGGGTTTCACTTGGTGAGAAAGCCCCCAAATTTTGATAAAATTACAACCTAATGCAATTAACTGCTGGTTACTTTTCTCAATTTACTTATATGTAAATAAAGCCCCATCAAAGATTTCTTTTTGAGCTTTCTAAACAATCACAATTATTTTAGGTGTTTAGTAAATATAATAAAATATTGATCATGAAAGAATTTTAAATTTTTGACTATAGATTTTGAGTCCATTTGGCATGATTTTGCCTTTTTTTTTTTAAAGAGTTTCCGAAGAAATTAATCTTAATTTTTGTTTGAAAACTAATTTTTAAAAGAAATTTTTATTTTGAAAGTACTTAAGAAAGCTAAATTGGATCAACTTCTTTTAACGTTTTTTTAACTTGAAAAACTGCTTTCATAAAATTAGTTAAGTGAGTTCAAAAACTACTTTAAATTTTTCAAAAGTTATGTCAAACAAGTCATTTATGAAACAACGAAAAGGTAGTTGCATGCTTTTAAATTCCTCTATAGCCCATTTTTAAAATTTTAATTTTAAACCTAATCAATAAAATTATCTATTTTTATTTTCAAATTTTTTTTAAAAAAATTTTGAGTTTTAGTAAATATTAACATTTTCAATTTAAATTACTGTGGTGAATATATTGTCTTAGATAAGTATTTAATAATAGTATATAAGTTATATAAAAGTAAGATTAAATTTTGAATTATGATTGATGATAATAGTACATAAAGAGATCATTATAATTAATTTTTATTTTTAATAATTGTCTATTCATACAATAATAAAGTATTGTGTTTACTAAAAGTTAAAATGATTTAAAAATGTGGAAATTTTTATTTTGAAATATAATAAAATAAGTTAGTTTCATATAAATAAAAAAGAATATAAAATCATTTTTACTCATATAAAACAGTAACTTATTTTAACATATTTAAAAATAAAAAGTTACTTCAAAGAAGTTGGATGCCACAAGATTTCTTTGCAACAATAGCATATAAAATCTCTCAAGAACGATAACATGTGCACGTGCAATTCTAGCAGAAGACTAGGCCAAGAAAAGGAAAGAGAATGGAAAGTTGAAACGAATAATTAAATAAATAATCAGGATGATTGTAGGGATGGACGGGCACAATATATTCGAATTAGGTTTATTTTAATGAAAAATCCTATTATTTAAGCAACATCAAATTAATTGAATCTTAAATATTTTAAAATTATTTATAGTTTCATATGGTGAAGGTTCAAGGCATATGGCATTCACAGCTCAACGTTCCATTCGTCATTTCACTTTATCGATCGATATGACTAACCTCTAATTTTGTTGTTGTTTGTTGGTAAAAGCCTACATGTTGGTGTTGACGATCTGAGTGAATTATTAGGGATGTCAAAAATATCTCGTACCATCCTGTTGGAGAATCAGGACAGAGCCTTGATTTTTCTATTTTATTTTATTTTAGGTTTTTAGATTTAATTTGTGTTTAATTATAAAAAAAGTAAACAAATAAGTAAACAGGGTGATACTTGAGATATTTTAATTTTACTCCGCCATACCTTGTTCACATTACGTCAATTGCCATTCCTATAAATTACTAAATGTCGGGATGAAAGTACTACAAAAAAAAATGTGGGTGAAAGTGTTAAAAAGTGCAAAGTTTGGAAGCCTATGCTGTAATTAATCCTAAACAAAATATTTAAAAAAGGCTATTAGCACAAAATGTCCCTACATTTGAAGTTCATTGTCCAAAACGTCCCAATTTTTCATTACTATATTTTTTTGCATTTTCACCCATATTTACACCTTTCAATGTCGAAATCATCAATTTCATCCAACTTTTCAATAAAAAGTTATGCAATAACGAATATACCCCCTTATGTTTAATTTTTTTTCGTTTTCTTTTTGTTTTGTTTTATTTAAACATAAGAATATATTCGTTATTTCATAGTTTTTTATTGAGAAATTGGATAAAAATTGATGAAAATGACGATTTCGGCATATATATATATGAAACCTCGAGACGTTTTGCACAGTGAAATTCAAACGTATGGATGTTTTGTGCTAATAACTTTTTAAAAATTGGCAAATATTATGATATAAATATTTTTCAGAAAAAATAAAAATAAAAAATACCAACATTTATACTATAGATCTTTTTCTCCAACAGGTTCTGTAGGTTGTCCTTTGCACAATCATTCATCTTTAGGTCATTGAAGATAGATTGTTGAAAATATTTATCGGGTGTGAAGTGGATTTCCTTATCGCACAAGAAGGGTAAATGTTATCATTTACATAATCATTCATCTTTAGGTCGTTGAAGATAGGTGGTATCAATTCTTATCGAGTATGGAATGAATTCCCTCTTTACATGAGAACATGAGAGAGGAAGATATCATCTTAATCTCGCTTATTTTTACTTTTATCGCTTTACTCTCATTTTCGTAAACAAATAAATAAAATCGTTGCAAAATGGCAGTGACATAAATTGAGGAATACAATCGACTCAGGAATAGATTCATATCTAATGTGGCGATGTCAACTCATGAGCCACTTTATTCTTATTTTCGGGAATAAAGTGACAAGAACCACTCTTGACACCATGTTACAAAGCTACAATTTTCGACAAGATAATTTTGATTTCATAATATAAACGAAATGACATTTGAAGCCCCTAGAAATTAGTCAGCGACACCACATGCCTGTGATAAAAATAATACATGATTGAGTGAAGAAGAAATTATCGTCATTGTTTGTGAATATTAATCTAACAATCATCAAATATCAAATCATTAAAATAAAAAATAAAGAAAAGAAAATCGGTCCAAGATCTGATAGCAGGCAGGCACCCCATGTGCAAATAAAACTAAGGATATATTGTTTATTAGAAATTGGCATAAAATTGAGTGCATTCCTGTTTAAGCTTCAAGATTTTGCTCCTTTCCTTTTTGGTCGGCGATAATTTTATGTCACATCCAATCCAGTAATGTGCAATAATTGAATAGAAGAGAAGGAGCTGTTACGCTCCTCACTAACTACCTCGGTGCGTCAAATCCACTCTCCATCAAGGTGCCCTGTGTCAATCTGAGGCGTCATCGAAGTGATATATGCCTCACCCGAATCTCAAGTCGACGTGCCGTGAGGCACAGACACTACCTAAGTGATATTATCAAAGGCATCCTCTGATACCAAAGTGTGAGGAGATGAGGCACCTTACGGCGGAGGAGTGCAGAGGCCCCTTTGTCAGGGACGGACCCAAACTTTTATTGTTGTGGGGTCAAAAATTTAAATATAATTGTTAAAAAAAAACAAAATAATATTAATGGAAATAAATTAATACATATTTTGATACTTAATCGCTTTCTTAAGGCTTCAAACAACTAGTCATTAAGACTACTATGAAAGAAAAGTAAGGAAGTCCTTTTCTTGACTTGGCTTGCGTGCATTATACCTACCTCTTTTTAAATGTCGTATAATTATATCATTATCAATATTATTAAATAAATTTTGTTATTTGTTTAGTTTTGTTTACCATTTCGAAAATGAATTGAAATAAATTTCAAGTTTAATCCAAAATGTAAATGAAATTCAAATTAAAAAAAAAATGTAATTCGAAAGTAATTTAAATTACATTTGACCCGTAACAAATGTAAAATTTTTTTTATGTCATTCCATGTAAAATGTCATAATACAACGATATAAATTATAATGAAAAATTTATCATGCAAAAATAATAAACGTTAATGAAATAATTGAATTTTTTAAAAGAAAAAACGAGTTAGATGTCTTTTTTGAGACATACGTTATCCGTTTGGACTATTCGATATGACAACAATATAGTTTTTGAAGCAAGCTTCTACATGATATAGACAATTTGTGGATTCTGATAGCACATTATCGTCGACGAATTTTACAAGTTAGGATATTATTGAAATTATGAAAATATCAATTTCAAATGGCCTACTTTTGCTATAGTTAACCATTTCGCACGCTATTAATGAGTAAAAAACTAGGCCATGAGCATTTTGAAATGTATTAATAATGCAATATTTCAACTTCATTTGGCATTCCCAAACGAGTGTATCAAAGTAAATTGTAGAAAAAAAACTGAGGCAAAATTTCCCATGTGGGTCCGCCCCTGCCCTCCGTCGCCAGTTTCAAAGATGTATCTCAGTAGTAGGATTTCCTTATCCTTATGAATTGATTGATGTGCCATCTTAGCCTTATGTCAACTTACATATCAAAATAATTAATTACCCACCCCCCAGGATGCGGCTAATTAAACCCTACGAGCAGACGTTTCACATCGTCAAATGCATACACGTGTCCAACATCCAGCGGTGCCCTTTGCCTATAAATAAAGGTTTGGCAAGAGACAAAGCTAATCTTTTTAATTTGGGGCACTCCACAACAAAGTAATATATATTCTCCTTCGCCCTCTCTTGTACAGTTCTGGCATCGCCTCTATTACCATCCACTGACTTGACCTTCGGCGTGTATACAACTGCCACCACCCCTGACTACTATCGATTGTGTACGTCTAGTCGTTTGCTCTTGTGCGCGGGAGGAACAAGTGAAGTGGCTCTCAGTTGGCCGCGTGAAAGGTCTAATTTGCGAGGTCAGTAGATTGACGCCGTCTGTGGGAAATCTTCGTTCTAGAGTTCCCTATTAACCACTGAAAAAAGCCATCGAAAAATCAGTAACTCTCTTTGAAAAAGGGACGTTCTTGAAAAAGAACCCAAGTCAAAATTAGCGATCCAGTTTTGAACACCCTTGAAAAAGGAGTAGTAAAATGAGTTCTAGCAATAATGACACAAATCCTGAAAGACTAAGGGACACCTCTGAAGAAGAGGTGCTCCAGACAAATGTCACCCAACCCAACCCCACCATTGACGCCACCGAGGTAGTAGGGTCACAGTAACGCTAACTGCAGGAATGGCCCAAATAGCTACCGGAATG